ACTTGTTTGTGTGAGGATGCGTCCAGTCAACTTCCTCGACTCTGTCACCCTCTCCGTATTCCTCATCTGCTGATAACCAAAATTTACAGTTTAATGAACAAGAATGTCAAAATGCGCTTGCTAAATCACAAAGAGTTATGGGAGAGGAAGCGTCTGAAAAGAAAAGGCTTAGCAAGCTAAATACACTAAAAATGTTCACCTGAAATATCAATTTGGAAAATGCCGAAATCGCAAGTCACATTTTTTGCAGGCTCATCCTTTAGCCGTTTAAAAATCAAAGTCATACTTAAAAAGCCGTGCTAGGCCAAACGACTTAGAATGGAAATGCCGAGCACATCAAGGTTTCTCGCACTATTGTCGCCCTCACTAGAACGATAAATAACAAGATGCATATAGCAATTAATTGTTAGTGGATTTGTGCAAGCGATAGGTGCACTGAGTGAGGTGCTTGCAAGCAAAATCGTCTAAAACCCTCGTGCTTTTTTTTTTTGGTAGCATTCAAGCTTAGATGTTGCACAGAAACAATTATTACAATGGCTACTAGACTGAACATCATTTTCACTAGGAAAACAAGTGTGGACAGATTTATCTCCATAAACAGCAAAATGAAAGACGTCCATTTTCTCTTCTTGCCTTAGACCGTACCCCAGCTTTCACTTCAAATGAGCGCCACTGGGATTATGCTACTCACTGAGAATGAGGAAACGCTTCATGCTAAGAGGACGATGATTTGAAGACTTATCAACAGTGTGAAAGTCACCTGAATTTTTAAGCGGGGCTCTCTGTATTTTTGAGGCACAGCAATAACATATTATGTGGGGAATAAAAAGAACGCAAGAATTGACTTGCTTTCTGGTTTTGCCTTTAGCAAGCTAGAAAATCACCTAGAGATGAGAATAAAAGCAACAAACTGAGTTGAAAGAAATAAAATTCAGCTAAGCTTACTAAATATCAAGGCAGCCCGTACATTGCAGTAACGATGTTACTGGGCTACTCTCATACGCCGAAAGCACCTGTCCTTTCGATCCGAGACCTTCAGACCTCCAGTTATTATCTACTGTAACTTATCAGGATAGCCAAAATTCACTAGGAGAAAACGCGTGTGGAGAAAATGTACATTTTTAAATGCTAAAATATTCAAAGGGAGTGGAGGAGTTAAAATTTAATTAAGTGGTAACAAAAATAAGCAAAAAGACATAGTATAAACCATTAGGTGTACCAAATTTGAACTGCATGTCTATATTAAAGGCTAAGGTACGTCAGTGAGATATTAGGTATTACCATATGACATGGATTTGCAGTTGTGATAACTCTACCGTTTCCGCTTACCTTTTAATATCAGCGATTGTAACGCTTTCCAGCTAATAGCTTGTTTTTATCAAAATATTACTTATGTCTGGGCTGGAAACAAAAGGAAAAAAAAATAATGGTTTCACTCGTTGAATAGCATTTAGCTCTTTTTCTGCTTAAGCCTAACATCTAATTGTCAAATAAATACTGCTAATTAATTTCATATCACCTTCTGTTTATGCACGTTGTATGGAAACTAAAAGTCTCACCCATTTGACATACCTCTTCCAAAAAGTTTGTAGTCTTAAACAAGAAAACAATTGAGTCTAAACAGAATTTCAAGCTACTCATTCTACTTATCCTGAAGAAATAAAAACTTGATATTTTCAGATTGCGACTTACAAAATTTAACTGACTTTTGGAACTATTGCCAAGAACTAGTTCGTCAAAGGTTAGCTCTCTCACAGATCCTGACTGGCCGAAAACGCATATGGCTCTAAGCCCCAGTTACAAATTTACCCAGTTCTTAAGTGTAATAATTGGAACACACGCACTGACAGGATCTGACCATAATGCATTTCTGGTAAAAATTTGATCAGTCCAAATGGGGTCTCGAATAGGAATGAAACTTGCAGCGTTTTGCAGTGACCGCTTTACCACCAGCCGGTTTCACGCAACCATTGCAGAGTTTCACAATTGCCTCCACCAGTTTAGTGCCACATAATCGACTGGTTGTTCCTGATTTCTTGGACGGTGGTGGAAGTAGTAGTTTGCTGAATAAGCCATTTTCCTTCATCGCAATCTCATCCATATCGTTGCTGTACGTCTCTTCAAACGCTTTCAGTTGCTCATCCAGCAGACTGTCTCCACTTTGATCCGACTGCTGATTCTGGATTCGCGCCATACTCATTTCCTGTATGATTCGCCGTGACTTCAGATCCTGACTGTTTGGCTGTGCCAACTCCGGACTTGGTTCGCTGTTTGCTTGGGCGCTCATCGCAGTGATAATGTTAACAACCAGAAAAGTGTTTCTCAGCGCCAACATTGTTCTTCTTTCTTCTTCCTTTCTTCCTCTTATTAGAATCTCTGAAAAGTGAAGTATTGGCGAGAAGTGTGATTGGCTGGGATTTCGTACTGTACAGGTTACGGTTATGTCCTTCGAATGAAGCGCGGCACTGGGATTCTTCTTATTGCTGACGGCGCTGCTGCTGGGCTGGCGCCGAAATTCGTTTCCTCAAAGCACAAGTGGCGGAAAAGAGGAGAACTTCGTGATGGCTTGGTGGTCGAAGCAGCACAGTGCCTTGGTGGCAGTGGCGATGGCTGCGGTACTGGGCGAAAAAATTGGAACACTAACACAGAGGTGTTTTGCGCACCAGTAGATGGGTTTTATAGTGGCCTGCTGCGCCTGAAGCCAAGGTCGTGCTAGATTAGGAGGAGGGCTGGGCTTCCACCCTTGGCTAACCTCGTTTCCACTCTCGAGGCGAAGTCGTGTACAGGATGCAAAAGAGGAGGCGGTGCAAAATGTATTTACGGCTCCTCCCTCTCCCCTCTCACTTCCCTCGTCCATCCTATTTCGCGCTCTCTGCGGTTTACCGTGAAGACACGGGATGCGGGTGGAATTCTCGGAGACGCTCTCGGCTGGAGAAATACGAGAGGCGTGGTCCCAGCGTGTTGTAGCAGTACTACTAATAACAGAGATTAGTGCGCTCTGCTGCAGACGGCCGGTGCTGCTAATGGACATGTTCCAGGACGACCGAAGCACTGTGGACACTTCAAATGTTGCAAATATTAAATGACAAAACAAAGTTGCAAATGTCTCGAATTGACATAGTAACAGCAGCATCAGAGTAGCAGCAGCAGTAACAGCAGCTTTTCCTGCACTGCCCTTTGCAGATGTGGCTTCCCTGCACCGGCTCTTCAAACTTGGCCTCAGCTGAAAAATGTTTTTTTTTTTTTTGAAGATACCGCAATCGCTGCAATTCTCTGCCGATTCACCGAAGAACCCGCGATTTTAGCACTTTGACAACACTGACACACACACACACACACACATGCTTTCCTTCTGTCGTCACTTCCGGGCAATTCATAGTTAGCTAAAAGTTGCACAGCAGCAGATGGGTTTTTCAAAATAGATTGAAATACTCACCCCTCTCGTTCCCTTCCCGCGATCTCGTGCTGAATAGCCATCAGCCTCCACACGGTGTGGACTGGTAACTGCCATACTGTTGCGTCAAGTACGAGGTAACTCCTGACGAGGCTGCCTTTTCGCTTTTGTATCACCGAGGTACTGTAAAATTTTTATGCGTCAAACAAACTGACTAAAATTTGAAAGAATTACTCGTGTAATTGACTATAAGTAAGTAAATGCAGGTAATTTTGCTCATGCCGTTTGCGAAACTAAGCGTGCGAGAAAAACTACGCCCAGTCAACTACTGAGCCGCAACTTCAGACATGGGAAACTAAAGGAGATACTGAGAAAATCGAAGACAAAATCGAGAGCAAAAAAATCCATCTCAAATTTATGCACTCGCATCGATGCCTACTTCGAAAGCGGCATGCCTGACGGGTGAAGTAGCCAAAATTTTCTCGGAAGAAAATGAGATGGATTTGTATTTCTTGGAAAAAATAATTGATGAATTTTATTAAAAGCGATATCAGAGTCTGAATTCATTATTCAGTGCTTTGGCGCTGGAAGGCTATAATTACATTATTATAAATTGCGCAAATAAGCACGCCGAAAAACGCTGCTGGTTTTAGAAATAAGCAGGCGCTCATACACATCCTGAATTCGATGAATGCCTAGCTCTAGCATTTTCCTGGCTCTCTCTGAGAGCGAAATTCCTGCATTATCGCACCTCTATCTTAGGGAGTCGAATTTTTTTTTTTTGATGCTGTATTTTGCTTAAAAAGTAGCACTTTAATGAAAGTCTCTTATGCAAAATTGTGCACTAATCACCAAAACCAGTCTATTTGAAAAATGAGTAATTACCCAGCAAAGTGATGGGACTGATCAAATTTTTCCCAAGAAGAAAAGCACTTACGTAAGAAACTGAGCTCTTTGCTTGACGCATAGCTATTTGATCATACGCGCATATCAAGTGATCAACATAATTTTCCCCAGCCTCTTCCTCCATGCGCTAGCTGTGCTCCTGAAAAGACAAACTAGAAAAGTAATTGCCAGCAGCGCTGATTCTTTCAATTATGTGCACTATCTGGTTAAAACTTTATTGCTCTGCATGCAGATTACATATCTTTTAACTTCAGCAGTCTGATTTAGAATGATTTTTTACATCTGGGAATTTGCTCTAAAAATCAGAGGCTAATAAATAGCTCGTTTACGCTTTGCAGTTGAGTAAGGTTTAAGAAGTGAGCAAATTGCTATAAGGGCGCAGTAAGTGAGGCGAGGAATTGCGCCTTCATGCACATCTTCAGTATCGCAGTAGCATCTGGGACAAGGTATTTCAAACTAAGGTAAGATAGATTTATTCGAAAGAGCGATGACTTTTCAGTGAGTTCTCGACAATTCATCCTCATGACATTCTGATGGTGGTTGGCCATACTTCGCTCAGAAGCGCTCCATTTTTATGAGTTTTTGCTGTGCAGCGCCATAGCGTTGCTACAGTGAACAAAGACGCACATTGTCAAGAGGCCGTCGGTTTGTGTATGTTCGGAAGCGAGTGGACTTTGTCATCCACTATCAACTAAACGACCAGGAAGGTTGAAATTCTGGAAGCATATTCCCATGCGCCCTTCTTCCGCTTTAAAATCATCACTCATGCGCGCCTGGATCTCGCGTACAAATCACCCTCCTCAACCCCC